TCAATCATAAGCTCTGCCTTGCTTCTTTAAGTTCTTAAACATGGTCAGAGAATGATGGAAAATTCCTCTTGAAGGTCAGGTCATCATGTCTGCCCCTTGTCATTCCGTTCCTCACAAAGATCCACATGTGCACTTTGCTTCTGCCCCGGAACATCCCCATCCGTTTTGACACGACTCCAGTTGGGCTCCACCTCTTTGACTCACTCCCACTGGCCAACACTCCCACCTCGACAATTTTTGAATAACTAATGGAGGTGCCAGTTAAATGGCAAAATAGAGGCTTGGAAGCATCAGTAGGATGGCAACAATAAAACAATAACTGGCAAAACACGAGGAATGCGTCATCGTTGCGGTTCGAGTGCCTAGGAGTCCTGGCCTGAATATGAAATTCGGATTCGGATTCAGATTTCGTGCGACTGTCGACATTCATCATGCCAACTGTCTGTCTGGCATTAGGAGTCGAGCGTCCTCTGTCCGCCGTCCAGGACTTATGCATCATTGTCAAAATATTAACAGCTGGCACATTCCAAGTCGAGTCCTCCCCGTCCCTCCCCTTATGTGAGCACTTAAGCCTCGGGCTGATTCAGACGATGATGAAAAATAGAAATGGAATTTAAGTATTTCAAGATACATTTTACTGGGCAAACAGACGAATTTGCGACTGGCAAGATGGAGGGCGGACAAATGGGTCAAATCCTTTCTGATTCGGACCAGATTTCCTCTGAAAAGCGTCAAGAAGTTTGAGTTTCTTTAACCTCTGACTTGGTCCTGCACAGCCTGGAGTACATAAATCTACGAAGAGGAAGGTACATGACTAAAAGGGATATTTATATATTTGCATGGGTATGTGGAAAGCTGCTTAAGAGAGGATATTTATAAATCGACGCCGAGAGGATTTGTGGGTGAGAATCTGAGAATATTCCCACATCTCCAAGGAAACTCATTAGGACAGAAAAGTGATAGGGATGTGAAAGACAGAACAACGAGATACATTCTTACAACTTCTTTTGACTTAAGTTGAACTGACTGCAGTGTCAGTGGCAAGAATCCATTCGAATATCGATTTCCATCAATGAAGTGCATCAGACAGGAGTTAAGGGGGATTTAATGGGTGGCAAAAGGGATGCCCTTTTGTCTGGCTGCTCATGTGAGTAAAGAAGAGAAATGGGTTTTTTAAACAAATTTGCATTTGAGTAAATTAAAAACAAACAACAAAATCAATGTTAAGCCTCTGTACCGCGCTTAAACGATATTCAAACAGATCAGTAGCAGAATATAGATTGGCAAACGTAGGAGAAAGTGCAGAGCAAACAGAGAAATTTAGAAAAGTCATTCAGAACATTGGTACAGTGTATTTGTTTTTCTGTCTTCGCGCGAAAAAAACGGTGAAAAAAGTGTCACTTATTCACTCATTCGCAAATGAAGAAACATTTCCCTTCCAAAAATACCCCAAATAGAGTCGTCTACATTTCCATTTCACTGCCTCAGCCTTTTTTCCTCATCTCCATTCTTGTTAGACTGCGTCGGGGCTGAAAAAACCTTTCTGGCATTCAAATGTTATTTTTGGCGCAACATTTGTGAAGCTCTACCCACTTTTCCCCTTGGAAACTTGAAGCCCAGAAAACCGTGTGAAATGCGGAAGTATTTGTTGCTTGTTGTCACTGAGTAAGGGAAAGGAAAACCGCAGCCTTTGCCTTTTTAGGCATTGTGATTTTTTTGAATGAAGATTCCTTGCTTTTAACATTCTGTTTAAATTGCCTCTCGGCTTTGGAGGCTACTTGAGTGCTTCCCTAATTGATGGAAGTCCCTGGGACGAGGGAAAATACCGCTTTTCCGCTTGCAGTTCCTAATTTCATTGTTCATTAATGCCTGCACCTGATGAGCTACACACTTGCTGTTTACTTCAAACATATACACTTCGGGATCGGGCATAAGGCGACTGCTTCTGGGGCAGAGACCTCAACAATAATTTCGATTACGGAATTTGTGGCCCTACATTTGGGCAGCCGCAGATGCAATTAAATGTTAATCGATTTTGTTTGTGTTCTGTGGGAGGGAAGTGGTCTTAAGCTACGCCGTACAACTGAATACTCGAGTGAAATAATCAAGACGGGGAGGAGGGTATCTCAAATGGGCGAAGGTGTGTTACCTTGTCAGAGGCGTAATTAATTGTAAATAATTGTGCATGTGTCACTTGCAATTTATTTATTTGCCAAAGTCATCCCCCATCTACAAAATGGTAATGGGCGGAATAGGGAAATGGGTCAGTTTAGAGTTACCCAACTAATTTGAATGCAGATCAGTCTCGGGACTGGTCAATATTAGGGACATCTTAGGCTGACCCTTATCTAGAGCTTCTTTCTGCATCGAGAGTGTATGGGCAGCATATTGCGTATACGCCGCGATGTTTGTTAAAGTTGTAAATGCCAGATGGGAGAAACGGTCTCAACTTGTTTCCCTATATTTGCATGTCAAACGCGAGCTAATTTCAAATTACTGCGACACTTCAACTTCGTGTTCTTCCTTTCCTTTTTTACTCACCTTCCGTCTTGAATTCCCTGTTTTCTACCAGCTCGAACGCATTATTTATGACTTGTATACGCTTTCTGCGTCATTTTATAAACATTTTCCAAACATGTTCAGCGACATCGGAAAGTTGTAGGGGGATGCAGCAGCATATAAAATGTATAAAAAATAAAAAGCAGGCGACTTTATGTTTTATTTATGAGCCACGCACACACAAAAATTTCGCACGGGACCCCAAAATGCGTGTCGCCTTTTAATGTGACCAGATCAGGGGAAGTGGAAGCAAAAAGCAAGAAGCAAGAAGCTCGGGAAATAATGGCGCCACAAAATGGTACGATTAGTACGGTTCGTCCAATCGATGCCCCCATATGCAGATGCCTCATTATCCCGCAAGAGTCTGCCATATGTTCGTGAAAGGGTCAAGGGTTAAGCACTGCCCCTAGAGGAGATCCCCGAGTAACTTTAGCTTACCGCAAAGCACAAATCGCCGTTTAAATATTAATACATCAATCCACTTAATATGCGAGTTTATGCCATCGAATGATGTAATAAATATAAAAGAAGGAGCCCGCAGACACTCGGATAAAGATGATGCCCATATGCTGATGCTGTAAATCCTTCCTCAGCGCCATCTGCAATGTCTGTGGGAATGGGGGTCCCTCAGCCACTTCACTTTATGATGAGTTTTTCCCTGGTTGGCTGATGGATGCAAAGGCACACACACACCGTTAAGGGGCCACAATAAGATTGTCCATTAAAATTGCAGCCAGACTTCAATGGGCTTCATATTTTAGGGCTTTCGGATCAGCTTTTTTTCTTTTATTGCAGCTGGCAAAAGTCAAACGCAATATGCCAGAAAAGCAAACAAGTTTGTAATATGCCAAAGACAAAACAAATTCCTGGCATAAGCGCGCACTTCCTGAAAATCCCCCTCAGCCTTAACAAAACTGGCCTTCTCTGCGGTGGTCCTAGCATAAAGGAAGTGGGCTTCTTGTTTACTTGCAGAACTTATAAAGAAAACATCAGCTTGGGTTTCCGAAACAACTGGCAATGGAATGGGTACCACAATACCAGGAAAGCAACAACTTCAACAACATCCCAACCCTCGAAACAAGCAGATATCAAAGCAAAATTTTGCATTAAAACTTAAGAAATCGTTGGGAGAAGAGGGCCCGAGATAAGCGAGGGAAATAGAATATTCTCCTTGGCCAATGATTGCGTAATATTGTGTCCCAGTTTCAGTGTGTATTTGGGTGCACTTGTGCGTTATGATTGCACGAGCATAATAAAATCTTGTTATGGTAGGCGGTGACACGCCCACGAGACATTTTCTTATTTTTGGGAAGTTGGTTTTCAGTCGATGTGATTTAGTTGATTTTTAATTTGAAAATGTTTTACGGTTTCTTTATAAATTGGAATCTACTTTTTAATACTAAAGGTTGTCAAAGGTTGATTGTACAATTGAGAAAAAAATATTATAAAGTAATTAAAATAAAAACGTTGTTTATATTGTCCAAGTCTTTTTTTTTTTCCTAGTTATTGTTGCAAAATATATATATTTCAGGTTAAACCACAAAAATGTATATAAGAATAATTATAAACAATAAAAAAGCTCACCATACGTTTATGTAAGTGACATAATTATCAATAAATTATAGTTGCACCAATGGTTTAAGATTTATGTTTGTGAAATTTACAACACAAATACATTTTTCCATTATATTTCAGCGCTTTTGTGGTTGTTTTAATAAGGACAGGGTTATTAAAAATATGTAAATCAACTTTAATTAGGCTGTTACAATTAAAAAAAATGGGAAGTTTTTTGCAGCAGTTAAAAAAAAACCTTTTCAGTAAGTGCTTAAAATTTCCTCAAAGTATTTTCCCCCATTTCTAACCACCTTTGTTACCTTTACTTACCTTCGCCGAGCTAAAAGCAATCTTAATCCCCACATAAATCCCCATTCAAGTTCAAGTCAACCCTTATGGAGGCCTGAAACCGCAGCGTAAACCAAACGGGAACAGCATTTGCCGGTTCGCTCGTTTGAATTAATTTTGGCCTACACATTCTTGGCCAATGAGATTTATGCGTTGCTTACAAGTTGTTGTTCCAGTTGTTGTACTTCTTTTGCGCTCTTCTCACCCACATTTTTGTCACAAAGAGCCAGAGCTCGGAGAATATTAAAAAAAAGGGCGCAAAGTAAAATGTTGTTTTGATTTGGGTTCCGTTTTCTCCTCGAATTTCTTTCTCATCGGAAGCCGAGCACGTGTTTGGTTCGAAAAATAGCGACGCCTGCGCCAAAAACCATTTTCGAAATTTGACGAAACTTTCTTCTTTCTCATAAACGAAGTTGAGAACGAATGAATACGAAGTAAGAAACTCGGATTTCGGAAACACGAAGCTTATTTGTCCGTACCGATGAAGCGAGCCGTTGAGCTGGACGATTTAAAATCAGTTTGACTCGAACCAGCTCCGGAAGTGGCAGTCAGCCGCGCGAGTTTCCACCAAAGAAGAAAAATCTCCAAATACCAAACAATAATCAAATCATAAATACAACACAGTAAAATCAGAGTTAATAACAAATTACTCTCTGAAAAATTACTTCTTGTGCTTATACCGAGATAAAAAAGAAATGTAATTAAAATTCAATTACCCGCCAAAGTGTTAAACAAATAAAATATTTCGTGTGTGAGTGCGGTTGGTCATAAAAATAATTCGTGCCGCAACAACAGCAGGCGAAAATAAATTTTGCGGTTGGATCGTTAAAATTTCGTTTACCTGAATGCAGCCATGGCGCAGGAAAATCGAATGAGAAGGACCAATTTTTCTTTTTTCAGCCATTTGCATTCGGGGGAAAATTCATTAAAAATACAGCTGAAACTGAAGCCCAAGACGGGAGACGAGAGAAGGTTGCTCACTCAGCCCTGTGCCACATAAATTTCACGGCAATCAGCCGGCGCTGCAAGTCATCCAAACTTCATTTGTTGCTACTTTGGCTCTGCTCATGCCTCTGGTCCTGCTGCTTCTCCTGCTGCTAGTGTTTCTGCAGGATCCCGGCGGCTCCTGCTGCTGAAATATTGCTTCCATTATTTATGTTAAGTTTATGCAACATTCTCGGTGCTGCTGCTGCACCAGCTTTCCTCTCTTGTTTTTAATATCCTTCAGCTTGTAAAGGAATTACTGTTCAAGCCGGCAACTAAGTGAAAACTCAAGTCTCACGGCATTCGGCTCTGGGTCTTCCCGTTTTTATCATCTTCTTTTATTTTCGGTTCGTCTATTTCCATCATTTGCCTCGTTATTCAAACATCATCATCTTTCTGGTTCAATGCACTAGGTGCGGCAAAGTACGGACAACAAGGAGCGCGGTTTTATTGCCATCGAGTGCATTAATAAATCAATTGTTTTTGCATCTCAAAGAGCTCGTTTTGCTTCAGGGATTGACAGTTCCGTGATGGTGTGGAGCGGAAATCTGAAATGTAATCGCTGCCAGACGAAGCCATTTGCCAACGAATAAACTCTAATTGGGTTCACTTTAAAAGTTATAGTGGCAAACAGATAAAAGTGAAATAGGACATTGATAGTAAAAAACTGAATTACAAAAATGTGGAATATTTTAACATTTTATGAATATTTTAAATTCAAAATCGTAGTGGAAGTCAAGTTAATCATCACCTAAAGACTATAATTAGTTTACTTCAAAGTGTGCTATATAAATTGGAAAATACATATTTTTATGATCAGTTTATTAAAATAGCTGTTTAAAGAAAACGATAATATTTATTAATTACTTAAGGCTTATAGGCTTTTTTCTTTCATACAGCACCCAAATAAGTTTTATTAACGTTTTAAACAGGGTAATTATCATCTTAAACTCATTATTACTTGTTATTAATGAAAACTGCATTAAATTAAAGATTGATTAGTTTGTTTTATAGTACCCAACGTACCCAAATTGCTATTTCTTTCGAACTTTTTCCCCACCCTTAAAATCCATTGGTTCCTAATATTTTTAATGAGGCAAAATACTTTCAGCCGAAAAAGCAATCTTCAAATTCGAGAAAACCAACTATAAGCTGTTTTCTTACCAAAATGGACCGCAAGAAAATGTGTGCTTGTGTGTTTTGCCTCAAGCTCATTAACAGCTTGGGGCTCTTCCTTCTAGGACTATATTTTTCCCCAACTCAAACAAAGAATAGTGGAGGGAAAACAAGAACATTTACTAATTAGCACTCCCAAGGCTGCACACAATGAATGTAAAATTATCAAATCGTATTCTGAGTTTTTTTTGTTGGTTGTTGGTGGTATTAATAAGGAAATAAAGGGAAAGATTCCTTAGAAACAGTTGCCGAGGATGGAAAAGACGTATTCATGGCAGCGAAAGAAAAGGAAAATTCAATGCATTTTCTGGCTGCACTTTATGACATTGCGCTCAATATTTTACTACATATTTCTTACACTATAAAATGAATTTTATTTCAAGGAAAATGCAAGAACACTATATTAAGCCAAACTAGCTCAAAGCATATTGATTTCAAACAAAATCTTACTATTTTTAAGAATTTAAGCTCATTAAAAAAATCATTTAAAAGCATGTTACTACACAATGCTTTTAAATGAAATTTAAATAGAAATTGTAGTTATTATTTATATATATTGAAAAACTAAGCTTTAAATCTAAAAAAAAAAGTGGAATGGTCTATTTATTTTCAAAATGTAACTACATTCTATTCCTTCTTTGTTTTAACATATTACTGTTTTCATATATAACTGTTCCAACTGGGTGTTGTAGTGTATCCAGATTCAGACATCTGCAAGCAATTCCATTTTCGCTGGCTGTCAGATCAGCTGCCTGGCCGACAATTCTCCTGTCGCCGAAAGAGACAGCCTGAGTGGAGTGAAAGGGACGGGCTGAAGGAGATGACAGCCATGAATGCCACTTCTTCTGCTACCTCCAAGCATAATTTACATTGTATTCCAGCTTGAGTGTGCAGTTGAGGCTGTCTTTTATGGTTTGTCCTGGCTCGCTTCGTTGTGGTTTTTAGAATTTCCCGCTTTCAGCTTTTATTCCTTTTTCTTTGGCGAAAATTCCACTTGTCACATCTGAGGAATTCTGCTAGTGAAAGGCTTTCTCCGAGTTGCGCGAGCGGAAACGCTGGTTAGCTTCAATTTATACATGTCGGGCTTGTTAAGTTGTGATTGCGCTCTGGCCTAAAAGTGGACATTGGCGTACTGATTGCATCATAATTACCCAACTGCCTCCGTCCCTGATTTTCCCCCTAAGTGCTTTTTAACGAGCTCTCTTCGGTTGCTGCTGCCGTTTGTCGTCCGTTTGAAAAAGGGACAAAATAGCAAAACAAAAAATTTCCAGCATTTGTTTTCCCCCGAATGTTCCCCAGTGCACCAGTCATGGCCATTTCGCTTTCAGCAGCTCTCCAAATTCTGTCGTAATAATCTGCTACATGGACCCCATAATTTGTAATTTCAACCTAATTACTTCAAGCCCAGCGAAGACTGTGTGGGAGTGGCGGGGCTGAAAGGGGAATTGACCAGCTAAACAATGTTGTCGGTAATAAAATGTCAAAAACCAAAGCAAGCCAACAACACGCCCATTTCGTCGGAATAATACACACACATGAAGGCCAAAAGGATACGCCCCCTCACACGCACAGTGCGTTTGAGTTTGGATTTGTGTCCTTTGCTGGCGACATATGCTAATGATCTGACAAAGATTTCTAGGTCATTTCCATTGATTTTTACGCTTGTCGAGTTATTTGTATTATTTTATTAAGAATAATGGAAAACAAATGAAGGCTTACAATTATTATAATGATATATACAAAGTTTGATTGCTAATATACTCCTTATTTGACGTTCTTCAGAAACTTTTAATTAATAAAGTTGGGGGCAATGTAGGTTATTATTTATCGATTGGACATTCCTTAAGGGAACAGAATTTCTTGAAAATTCAAAACCAATTTTATCTAAACATAGCCTTACCAAATATAATGTCACCAGACAACGCAATTTAATCTGAATTCCCACATTTCATAAATCGGTTTTTATAAAACATTCCTTTTATTGACTTTACGAGTAAAGGTATCTACACAAATAGTTTTACAATATCACAATAATAAAAACAAAATTAATAAATTCTCCTGCATTAATATATGAATCTTTTGTCAGATAGCGAACGATTCACTACCAAAAGCATCGCATCAAAAACATCCTTTTTTTTTGTGGCAGAATTAAATATTTATTGAAGCGTCAACTCAGTTGGGTTCAGTAAGTGGATCAACTGAATCACGGTCGCTGGAGAGGAGTTGTGAGGACGAATGGGAAGAGCACGACTCTGGCTATGCAGGAAGCTGATATGGAATGTTCATTCATATTTCATTTCGCGAAATTGTTCGCGACCAAGTCAGGGAGTGCAGCCCAAATATCAGCCTAACCAGTCAGTTGAAATTCATTTCAACGGGAAAACAAGACCCAAAACAGGGATAAACTTAACATACCACTGGAATTCTCATTGTACGAAAACTGTAAAAATGCAACAAATGCATTTGGAGTGCAATGGAACTGTCGTTATAAAACGCTGGCAACAGGAGTTACAACAGAAATCAGCGGTCACCGTGACGTTAACCCTAAAAGTAACTGTTACAATGACACAGCAGTTACTGCCGGCTATCCATCGTCGAAAAACGCATTTCTGGGCCCATAAAATAGTAACATCAATGGAACGCATTCATACGTGGACATATTCGTGTATGAACGGCCGCACAGACGTCGACTGGCCGGAATAAAGTGCTATTAATAATAAATGTTGCATTGGCAGAGGGCGAAGGCGAGGTGGCCAAATGAACTTGGCAAACCGAGGGCCGAAAGCGACCAACGGCCAAACAACCAACCAGTCATAACCCCCTTTATAGCTGGGGGTTCCCCGCAATGAAAACCGAGCTGCAATGCGTACGCCCATTGTTGGCATACCACTCAAGAGGGTTTTACGATTGCAATTTGAAGAATGCAACAATAAAACAGGAGAAAATTTGCAGGACAGTCAGGCTATGGAATAACGTTTTAGTTCAGGGACTGTAACCATTTTCTATTAAATAAATTAAAAAATAATAATTATTCTATTAATATTGTTTTATCATAATTTTTAATTATTAAAATTAATTTAATAAACAATTATTAAATTGAATTTAAATATCTTTTGAAATTAAAAAAGGAGTAGCTGATTAAATTTTTCCTATTATTTATTGTTACTGGTATTCTGTATGAATCAATGGAGTTTTTGACTCTTTTTTACTTGCAAAGCTTTTGATAAAAAATGTATTTACAAAATGACCGAGTAAGGGCATATATAGTTTCGATTCTTTTACGTTCGCTTGTTGCTGGTGTAAGTTGTAGTCCACATACAATATTGAAAAGCCCAGGCAACAACAGTACCAGCAAAAGCACAATACCAAAAAGCAGGACGACTGCCATAATAATAATAAATGCCATAATCCCCTGAAATCGGCGCTCCTCTGTGGCCATTTCTCCGCCCCTTTTCACTGCTTTCCCCATGTGTGTTGGCTGCATTTTTATTTTTATTTCCATTTTCATTGTTTCGTCTGCAGCAACAACCACCGCAACAACAACAACAAAAACAACAACAGAAACAATGCGAAAATGCAATTCGACGCGTCAAGTGAATTAAGCGATTTTTAAAGCTTTACGCTAAATGAAATTTGAATTGCCAAAGTGTTCACTTGTGTGTGCAAATTAAATTACGCAAATCAAATAAATGTTTAAAAAATAAAATAAATTAATGTAAAATATAAAAAAATAAAAAGAGGAAAAATCAAAAAAAAAATGTCGTTCGGAAAATACCAGCAACAGCGAAAATAGTGCAACGAAAAAACTATTTTGAACCAGACATAGATAAAATTTAAAACATAACTAAACAATAACAGAACAACCAAAACAATAAAATGTTTATTTTAACGGTAATTAAATTGCTGCTGATAGCACTTAATATATTTCCTAGTCGATTCACAAATCGACGGATTATGTTCTTCATCTACATGACAAATCTAGTGACGCACGGTAAGTATTCATTTTTGTTTTATTCAATTGTGGGTTATTGAATGGTCTTTATAAATTAAAAGCAATTATTTTGTATGGCATTCAAGTGTATTTAAAAAAATGACAACTTGTTTGCTTTGGGATTAGCATGTTATAAGTCGATGATTAAGTTTTGTTTTATAGTTAGTTTGTTAAAAGTCATTATTTTCTGAATGCATAATCTAGATCAAATCTATTTGGCCTACAAAACTTGTTCCTTGTTCCTTCATTTTTAAAAATTCTTTAATAAGCATTTAAATACGATCATATTTCCGCCACCGAAAACGTGTTGTGTTCCACGTTGAAACTGTCAGATCTGGCCATAATTTAATTAAGAAAATGAGACCTCAAAATGCTGGCAATGCCGCTTGTCCTCGCAGCGAGCCCAAAACTCCAACCCAAACGCACGTGAAGGCCGTGAACCGTGAGACAGGTGCAATGCTGGTGCCTGCCGGCCAAAAGAGGCGTGGCTGGGAGTAAGGGGAGAGGGGCGTGCTCCGACTGCATGACGCAGATAACACGGCAACACGGCCCCCATCAAGTTGGCCAGGAGGCAGACCATGTTTATACCCAGGGTACAGGGGCATGTGGCATTTCTGAATAGGATAGATTAAAGTTCTTGGTTTTCATTATATATTCCTTTCGATTAAAACACTACTAGGTATGTATTTGACAAAAATAAATAGCGAGCATCAATAGTTTTCTTTATCACAGGAATAAAAAAATGTGTAGCTAAGCGGGGGGTACTTTATAAAACATTAATTTTTTTCTCATGCATTAAGATAAAAATATTTGGACTAATATACAATTTAACACTTCTTTAACTGCCATGTAAAACAAATCTTCCACATTTGTACTCTATGAAAATTGTCTTTGCTTAACATGTATTTTGACATATTTTTAAAGGTTTTTGCATTTTATTACAAGTTCTAAAAAATGTGACTGCAGTTATTCTACTACTAAATAGAATTTCAAGATAAGGGACAATGTACCATTTTGTAAAGTACAAAATATATCAAAGTGGAGAGTAAAAGGTAAGGTAGAGTTGCAATGTAAGAATTATTATCCAGTTACCCAGGTATCCCATAGTCGGGGCTGAAAGCACTATTTATATAGTATTCGCTTTTTGTGCAGCACTTTCCTGGCAAAGACAGCGGCACGAACACGAGCTGAATGCATAGAAAAGGAAAACAGAGACAGAAGTTGCATCAGGCAGCCACAACAGGCGGCGACTACGTGCTGCCATTTCGCCCCACTCCAGTCCAGATAAAAAATTGCTTTGTTTAATTATTTCATAATGACGCTGCGGCTGTGGCTGTTGCTATTGCCGCCACTGTTTTTGTTGCCGTTGCCGCTGTTGATTATATTTGGCCTGCGGGTCAGGGATTTCCGGCAACAGCTGCTATTGCTCCTCCATCAACATTTGCACTTCTTTATTTTTATTACCCGGCACACTCCGCTGGGCTTTAGTGGCTTCGTTATGGTTTCCATGGCAAGCGCTGTGTCTTCCACACAAATTATTCATACGTACTTAAGAATTTTTCGCAAACTATTTTTGGCAGAAATTTTCCTTTCGAGTTTAGTACGAACTTAAGGGAAATTTAAAGTAATAGAAAATAGGGTTTGTAGCTTGAAGAATTATTTAATAACATTTTAAATTAAAAAGAAAAAAAGGCATTATTGTTGGAAGGCAGGAGTATAAAAAAAAATAATAAATTGTGTGACTTTATTTACTAAATTATTAAATTGTATTAAAGGATTCCACTATATAAACTAAATTTTACACTTCCGGATTGTAAAACCTTTAGTTTAATATACTTTTTTCGATATACGAAAAAGTCGGTAGCCGTGTAATTTTTAAACTTAGTTATTTTTTGTTCTAAATAAAACATGGTATCTATAACACTTCTTGATATTGATATTTTATCATAATAACAAAAGAGGCATTATTGCCATATTTTTCATCTTTTTATTGTTGTCCTTTTTTTTGAGTTTCGGCAGGTCTGTCCTGTTAATTAAGTATATTAATGAAAGAAATTCGTTTTTTTGTATGTTTTAAATAATGTAGTAACAGGCAAATTACTAATCAACCAAATTTGGAATTCGGTGTCAATACTTTAAGAACTATTGAAATAATAAACTAAAAAAATTGTAAATAAATTTATTTATTTATTTCCCATTAAATGTAGATATTTTTTAAAGTGAACACAAATCTTCTTCATATTTATTTCTTAAATTAATTAAAAACATTTTAAAGTGAACTCAAATGTTCATCAGATTTATTTATATAAGTAACGATTTTCCGGGTAATTAGCTTGCAAGGGCCTTCAATTGCTCCCTTTGGAACCCTGAGCAAAAGTAATTCGAGCATTGTGTTAGCCATTATTCAGGCTTCCAGGCTTCATCTGAAGTCAAACGAAAATTCAGTTGGTCAGGCGTAGAATTAGGTTTCTTTAGTTGACTCTTTCACTCATTAACTAACTAAGTCACCCCGTGGCTCTTTTGGCCGCCTCCTTTCATTCGCAGTCATGATGGATGAGCCACGCTTTGCGCAGCCGATACCAAACGTCACCGTCGCCGTGGGTCGAGATGCCAATCTGCCATGTGTTGTCGAGCATTTGGGTGGCTACAAGGTGAGAAACGGGTAAAGGGGAAAATTCTGGGAAAGTGGGACGGTGGGAAAACCCCGGGGATGAGGAAACACTTGGGACAACTGTCATAAATCGTGCGTAAACTGAACGCCATGGCCGAGGCTAGGCCACTTGATGAAGGAGTTTGCAACCGAGACGGACACTGTCAAAAATCAATTTCACAAATTGCCATAGGACCGAAGTGATGGCGTTTGACTGACTGACGGCAGGCAGAATGACAGACGTTTTGGGAGCTCAATTGTCAGCTTAGAGATAACGAGGCCTATCAAAATATTACTCCTATTACAATGGAAATTCAGCACTCACCGTCGATGACTTTGAGCTGTCATTAGCAAGTCGAACTTTTGTTTGCCCGGAGACACAATTTGTGAGCCCTGGCCAGAGCTGCATATATGCAACTAATCCACAATAAGCTAAGGATACAGAACTGGCCAGGACTTGGACCTCTGGCGCTCTCTCGACCAAGCAAAATGGCTAGAAAATCACTTATCATTTATCTCCCTCAGCTGCTGGCACACAGCGAGCTCATAACAAATCACAAATATTTACTCGCCATATCAACTTCATATAAAACACTGTCCCCAGGACGAAGACCACCCAGCTAGGATACGAATACGAGTCCTTGCTCCTTGCTCATATTGGCCTTTTGTCAACATTGGCCTGGACATGAGGAAATGGTAGAGGACAGTAAGGCGAGAAACTCATTGCTGTCAGTGCTGGTGCTGAGGGCAAATTTGAAAAGTTTGCAGCTGACTCAAGGCCGGGAAAATCCTTCCAACGAAAAGAATCCGTCTGACCGTCCAGCCCAGTGTAAAAAATGGCTACGAATAAGGCTTTAATGGGGAAAATTATTCACTAAGCCGTAGGAAGTCAGACCTTATATGGAAACACATTAAAAGGAAATCTCCAAATAAAATTGTACTGGGACTTTAGTTCACTTGGAAAAAACGAACAAAAAATGTTGTGTACAAAATAAATTTTCACGAACTTAAAATAATTTTAAATTAGTGAACCTAAAAAAAAACACATTTGCTGTAAGTAAACAAACATATGAAAGGAAAAACTTAAAAATCAAACAACTTTACGTACACTTTTTTGAGTGCCTAATTTCCAAATAAAATCATTAATATATATATTTGAAAATTTTAACAAAAATACTATTTTTTTGAAGTAAGACAACGCACTTTATGTGAACGTTTTATCTTACTGTGTATCATGTTCTTTGGTGGAAAGGCAAAAGAAGCCCAAGGAAAGTGCGAACAGAAGGAGCCAAAAAAGTGTATTAAAAATGCGGAAACAGCTGTCAAGCTGGCTTTATCCTCGGGTCCTGCGTCACAACATGACGTTCATTTATAATGGCGGGCTCTCCACATGTGTTTTAGCCGGGAGTCTGAATAGTTGGGTCTTTAAGGACAGCCTTGAGGACTTTCGACATTAACTACGGATTGAGCGAATGATGTGAATCGATTTTTAAAATGACCCTCATTTGGCAGGTGGCCTGGATTCACATCGACAGGCAAATGATACTGACCATTCACCGGCATGTCATATCGAGGATTCCGCGATACAGCATCACCTACACCGACAACACGTGGCTCCTGCACGTGAACCAGGCCCATCAGGATGATCGCGGCTACTATATGTGCCAGGTCAACACGAATCCGATGATTAGCCAAGTCGGCTATCTGCAGGTGGTTGGTGAGTATTCCCCTTGTTTGCCTCTCTAAACCAACTGGAATCATTTCGATTTTAAATGTTCGTCATGCTCTGTTTCAGTTCCACCAAACATTTTGGACATTGAGAGTACGCCATCCTCGGTGGCGGTGCGTGAAAATCAAAATATCAACATGACATGTCGGGCTGATGGCTTCCCAGCCCCAAAAATCATTTGGCGACGTGAGGATGGCGAGGAAATTGCCGTCGAAAAGAAGAAAAAAGGTAAGAGAAAAAAGGGAAAATGCTTCTGGTGATTTGTTTTGATTTGAAAGATTTTCTTTTTACGTATAATTTCTAAAAATGTCTAAAAAACTAAATTTTTATTTATTTACTGCCGGGAAGTGATTAAACTGTTGTTCTTTTATTTAATTATTAAACAAACATTTAAAAATTGTATTATTGATTGAAATATATTTAGGTGAATTTTAAATTTAAATTTAAATTTTTTTTTTGTTAAAATATTGAAATAATTGAAAACAGCAGAATTATCTATACCAAAGCTTTAAGTAATTTAGGATTATTTATTGCTCGGAATGTTGAATTAAATCATTTGCACACTTGCTTAAAAATGTAACGATTATTTACATTTTAAATTCTTAATGTTTTTGGTACGTTTATTTCCATGTTCCGAACGTCGTCCTTCCCACTAAAAATGCTACATCAGTTCTCGTGTACGATGGCGATGTACTTCCGCTGACCAAAGTGAGTCGCAATGAAATGGGCGCCTATCTGTGTATCGCGACCAATGGAGTTCCGCCCTCAGTGTCCAAACGGATCATTCTGGATGTGGAGTGTGAGTATTCGATTAGTGGGGGGCATAGACTCAACCAAATGAGGAATAAAAACGGTTCCTAACGGGGGAGTACGAGGGGATACGGGGAACAAGGGGTGAATATTATATTAGACCGTAGTTGGCTGCCTTTGTCAGTTTAGTTGAAACACGCGCGTGCACTTACCGGAACGCGAGAAGGCTATTCATCCAGCCAGGCCATCCATCTATCTATCCGGCCATCCCGGCTTACTGGCATCCATCCAGCCATCCAACCATCCAGCTATTTGCTTTTCGTGCCATATTCCTTCATGGAGCTGCGCATCGCCGGCTTTTGGTACCTGCTGCTCATCAATTTAACTGCACGCTCGTTGCTCCGGCAATGAGTGACAAACGCAGCTAAGCTGCCGCCATCTAATGCAGCTGATATATAACAACGGATACATGTATAGAATACACTGACAGAAAAAGCGGAAACTTTATGAATGCTTTTTATTCTGTCATATTTTTACAAACCAAAATTAAATTTTTTTTAAGATAGGAATCAAAAATGGCATTAAAACTTCATTAAAAAAAGATCTAAAAACTTAAAAATTAGTTCAGGGTCTGCATTTAAGCCGAACAATTTTTCTGAGTGTCTTTAGGAGCACTAGATATGGTGTCCTGTCGCTGGGCGTAAAAGTTACGCTGCCATTGCACGCCGTGCGCCAGTAAACGCTTGTTAATCCTAACGAGTTTCATCCAACCTGCCCCCTTCTCTAAGCCCAACTGCCCCCGACTACGCCCCTGGTCCACCAATTTCGCCCCCTTGACAATAATTCACGTCACGTACCTGCAATAAAGTCACTTGCCGGCGTTGCACGTATGACTTTGACGGCGTTTTTCTGTTTCGCCGTGTGTGTCTCTGTGTGTTTTTCTCTCTATTTTATTATGAACGGTTTTGTGCGTGGCTGAACCAAAGGGCGTTGAAAGGGGGCGTGCCAGCTGGAAGGTAGCAATCCTCATATTGCAGGTGTAGGCATTGTCAGGAGCGTTTTAAATTTCCAACTAGCTCGTTGTGCTCCTTTCAATTTTGTTGTTCGTTTGGAAAAGGGGTTTTGGTTTCGGGTTCGGTTTCGGTTTCGGTTTTGTGTTTAGAGGAGGGAACTTTGGTGGCTAAAAATGCGCAACCTAATATACAGTCTCGTTGAGGTTGGCTTAAAAAAAAATACACATATATTTTGTGTTAAGTGAGATGGAAGGATCAATATATTGAGACGGAGACAAAGACTGATGTTAAGCGATTAAGGAAAAGGGATGGCCGAAATGCGTTTAGTTTGAGTGGTAGAAATTGAGGGAAAGCACATAAGAATTTTAGACTTTCGTTAAAAAGGACTAAAATGTATTAAAAATGTACACAATTTTTAAATACCTGTGCAAAATTTGTATACTTATACAAAATTGAAAATCAGAATAGATTTTCATTAAATGCCAAACTATAAGTCAAGGGACATCAAAGGATTTGATGGTGTTAGTTATTATAAAATTTATGAAGTGTTAATGCTTTAAAACATCTAAGAATGGTTTTTATGTTACTTAGGGAATCTCTTCTATGCCCAAGACAACCTTAAGGGACAAACCCATCCGGAGCACGTACTTTCTGGTAAACTTAATTTCTCCAGCTACGTACCCTCGTTTTGCTGACGTGTTGTCTTAACCATATTGTATATCGCTCCACTTATATGCTGGCTGTTTCTCTCGTCTTAGTTTTCCAGCTTTGTCATTGCACTTTCATTTTAAGCTGGCGAAAAAAAATGTAGAGTCGTGGTTGGAAAACGTTGAACAGGCATAATGCTGCCGCTTATGCGTGCTTTTGCAGCGACACCTGTCTCCGCATTTCCCACCACCTGAGTTTACCCCCAGGTGCCCTTTACATTTGCTTACGTACCATATCAACCTATTTTTTTGTTTCTACCCTTCTTTCTCCGCAGTTTCACCCATGATTTGGGTGCCGAATCAACTTGTTGGCGCTCCATCCGGCACAGATGTAACCATCGATTGCCACACGGAGGCGCATCCCAAGTGAGGCTCTTTGGAATGGTTTCCCACATCCCTTGCCTTTCGTTTTCCTTTTACTATTGTTTTCTTTTAAATTTTATGTAGCATACATTTAAGCTGTGTGTCTGAAACAGGTTTATTTTGAATAAATGTTATTTACCTAGAGACAAAACATTTGAAATTTTATAATTTTAATTTTAAAATATTATGCATTTTAAAATGATTTTAGAGCACAGCTAAAACATTAGATAACCAGTTACATTCTTAAAATATTTAACATTGTTCTGAAATTAAAAAGCTGAAAAATAAATTCAATTTTGTTTTTAAAAGCAAGTTGTTGTAATTTATTTTAAGTTCCAACCAAAGCTAGGCATTTCGTGAGCACCCTCAATTTGTTTAACACTAAGATTTACAATAAATTTGTTAATAAAATAAATTTGATATTAACAATATTGAAAAAACCCTAATTTTAAAGCTATGAAAGTTTTATATTTTCCCATGACTATTATTTCAAAAAGCACCATTGTACCAAGATATTTTTATGTATGCTTTAAAGACCTTTAATTTTTTACGCGTGTATTTTAGGTATGTTTTACTTCAACTCCTTCTATTTGTATTGATTTTAAAAAATTTAGCATTGCAGCTGATTGCAGCTAGTGTGTATTGGTTGATATTCCAACGGGTCTGTGTGTGTCTGTTGAATTCAGTTCATTCGATTTCTCATTGATTTTGTTAAAATATTTACTTTCATTCGAGAATTTGATTAGTTTTCTTATTTCCGTGTGTGTGTGTGTAGTTCACATTTTCGTTTACATTCGATTTGAGTTTAACTGGTAATACTGAAATGTTTTCCCACCTGCAGGGCCATCATCTATTGGGTATACAACTCGGTGATGGTATTGCCGAGCAAGAAATATAAAACCGACTACACGGAGAACTCCTATCGGTAAGTCGCTTTAAAACAAAAACAGAATACCGAATAAAAACAAACTACAGCATACCGAAATTGTGTTGTTAAATATTTATCATGCATTTGCACTTGCCTTTTGGGGGTCAGGTGCAAGTGCAAATGTTTTCGCCCCGGATCTCTAACTCGAACTCGAAGATAAGCTGGCGAAAGGAAAACTATTCTATGGATATGTCCTTAAGCTTAACGTATCCTTTTGCAGTGCCCACATGAAGTTGACGATAAGAAACCTACAATATGGTGACTTTGGCAACTATCGATGCATCTCGAAGAACTCGCTGGGGGAAACGGAAGGCTCCATACGTGTTTACGGTAAGTGCATTTGTATTGGTAACTTAAGTGCACTAGTTACGGCAAACATACACACACACACACACATACACACACTCACCCCGAGCAATGCAATATCGTGCGCCCTTTGTGGCACAATTTTGCCAAAAGCTTTTACCTATAGACCCGGAATCCTCACGACCCTCACGATATGTGCACTATACGTTGTCCTCTGGAGCGTAAAACTAAACGAGCGGTGGCTGGTGTCTGGCCATATCTGCCCCTGCCCAATGTTCACCATTCTACTACCAACCACCCATCACATCCACCCAGTATCATCATACCCCGTGGCAACACGGAGACACATTCACCATAAACGTAAACGGAAAATAAAGGTGAATTTCGGAATTGTTTGACTTTGTATCGTTTGCTAGCCCAAGGAGTCGCCCCCAACATATAGTACATATCCCGAGTACATACGTACGTGTGTGTGTTGCCTGCATTTATTTATTTATTTATTTTTATGCACTTTGGCTGTTTTCGGGTTTTTCTCCTGTTTATAAGCTGCCGTTCAGCTTGTGCACTTGGCAAATGCTCAATGTGCTCTATGCTAAAGGTTATGCCAAACACGCGTTGAACTTGGCTTCTTCGTTGATATATTTAGTTTTGGTTTGATCTAAGTGAAATTTAACAAAATTGGCAATTAGACGAAGTTATCGGAAATTGGTTGACTAAATTTTAAGGGTATTGTATTATTCGACTAACAATACCACCAACTTGTTGTCTTTTTAACTTATCCTTAAACAAAGATATAGGCTAAAAATAAAAAGTAGGCAAACATTTTAACCCAATCATAAACTCCAACGTTAAAAACAGGTTTTTAAGAAATTACCAAGACTTCACTAAGTTTAAGTTAGCAGCTTAATTGTGTTTATGTCTGAAACCCACAAGGCTTTTAACTACAAGTAAAATTTCTTTAATTTATGCACACTTTGAGCCCCGACCACCTTCAACTGAAGCTAGGAAAATGTGCGTTTGACCTTACCTGTGGAGAAACCACACTTGACATAGTAAACCAGTGAGCAGCAACCGACATAAATTCTGCCGACATAATGAAATGAAAAACCATTTTGTATAATTTTATATTTTTCTTTGGCCGCCTTTGCCTGTGGCTGCCCGTTGCTGCTGTTGCTGGATGCCTTTATAATTATTAATTATGCAATGTTATTCAATTCCATTTGCAGAAATACCTTTGCCATCCACACCATCCAAGCAGGTCACCCACACCACCGTCGAGTCCAGGGAGAGTAAGTATAGTATCAGTCGGATGCGGGAAAATGTGCGGAATGCTCCGTATTTGCGCTTAACACATTCAGCGTTGAGCGTGAAAGTCACACCACACACACACTCGCACTCACACATACACACGGAGGGAAGGATACAGGATACGGCGAGCCACAAACAAAACTGCGAAAGTAGCAGCTAAGCCAGACAGATCCACAAACAGGGTGGCGCTGAAGGAAACAGGGAAGGGGTGGGAAAAGGGGGAGTGGAACACGCCCACCAAGAGATAAAGTAAAGCACTTTTGACTATTTCAGCGACGGGGTTTTTCGCTTCCCTTCATCTCCACTCACAGTCGGAGAAAAACGCTTTATTTGTACAACGCTTTATACTTGTAATTTTTCTTTCAAAATTTAGAATTTTTAAAGGAATTATTTTTATTGAACTATATTTGAAAACAGTTTTTAAAGAAATTTATTAGTAGTCAAAATGATCAACGCTCCGTGAAGAATTTATTTTGATAGTGCCAATTTGTTTGGTACTCTAGTTAAAATGAGTATTTTATAAGTCTTTATCATTAAAAAACCTCAAATATTTGAAATATATCTGAAATTGAGTTAACAAACTATAAACTTTTAAAAGTAACCTTAAAGTAAAATTCTATTGGCTTGTAACACTTAAATTTAATTTATATAACATATTTTTGAGGCAGCAAATATTTTTAAATGAAACAAAATGTATATACTATATACTTTTTTTTGTGTGCTTTTCTCTGGCTCCTGTTGAAATTCAAGTCGAGCAGAAAAGTACACACACTTTCAAGTCTCCGTCCGAGCTTGTGGCCGTCTCCTTTTCCCGTTGCCATGTCCAAGTCCTGGCGCTGGGCAAAGCAATATGCTGGGGATTATGCTGGGGGGCAGGAGGATTTTCGGGGGCATTAGGTTGGAAACACATTTGAAACACTGCCGCAGACTTTGAGCCCGAGAGCCAGCGAGCTGGAGAGCAGAGCAAAAGACCAAACATATTTTATTTAAAGTGACTGGCAAAGCAGCGCGCGAGCAATGCAACGGAACCTAATCCAGGAGTCAGCCAACAAAGGTTGTTATTGTTAGTGTGTGGGTGTGGGTGTGCGTGAGCCATTGTGTGTATGTGCCGATGCACATGTGTGAGTTTGTGCCTTTTGTGCGGCGATATAAATTTTTTGTATCGCAGCCAAGATTTCCACGCAATTTAACTTGAAAACCATGTCAGGCAGGGGTTAAGTTTTGTTTAAGAGTCCGTAACTTTTGCTAGTCAATAGTGACCCACACATTAACAAACAGTGGGCAACAAACAAGAAGTTTATGTCGATTTTCGACAGCTTGAGTGTTTCAAAGACTAATTTTCTGTGACACAAAGTTAATAGAGGATTTCAAAAAGGTTTTCTTTTAGCAGTGTCTTAACTTATATTAACTGGACCCCAAAGAAAAACTAAAACTTCTTTTGCCATTTGAACAATTAATAATGTTATGATCTATAGTTTAAATTTAAAACCAACTTATCTTTGTTGTCTGTTGAAAATCAGCTGTTTAAGAAATGTATTTTAAAACAGTAAAAAATATATAACAATATTTTTATCATTATTGAGAGATTCTATTTTTACCATCAATAGGAATAAAAGTTTAACTTCTCTTTTAAGAGTTATTACTCTATATTTGCCCATTAAACTATATTATTCGGCATCTAATCTGCAGACAATATCATACCCTCATCACGCAACGACACAACGAAATCCCTGCAAACGGATGTGGGCTATGCCATGAAGAACGAGTTGTACCCTGGTTCGGCCTCATCATCATCTTCGGGGGGCAGTTCCTCGGCGGCCTCCTCGTCCTCGACTTCCATGCAGACCTCTGCTCTGCCAGGCGGTGCGACGGGCAATAGTCTTTCGTCGGTGGGGTCCAAGGGATCCCTGGCGATAGGCAAGAGCATGTTCTACACGGAACGACCACCGAATGAGTACGCCTCGTCAGTGGGTAAGTTCGAAAAGTCCTCGAACCTCCAGACAGCCCCCCAAATAAATCATATTTTCTCTAGCTGGCCTGCTGCTTCATAGGGCACTGCTGCTGGGCTCTGGATTCTATCTGGCTCTGCTTTGAAATCAATAAACCGTTTGAGTCACTCAATAAGCATTAAGAAAATGCAGCCAAAGGGGGTCTAGAAAAGGGGGGGATAGTTTAGGAACATCAACATATTTCATAGCCGAAAGTATATCAAAATCCAATAATTCAAAAAAAAACAACAAAAATGCTTCAAACTTGGCTCACTTCAAAGCTATATAAATTTGTAAAATTATTAAAACGAAAACTAAAAGAAAAAACAGTATTTTGCAACGCAATAAAATGCTCATTGTATGTACAGTACTTATGAAATTTTAAGCCTAAGACAAACCACTGCATCATATTTACGAAGTGGAAATATTAAATGTACAATACATAAATTGAAATCCAAAATGGTTAAAGCGTACATTTTATGATTTGTTATTTAAAAGAGCGCCATAAAGCAAAGCTTTTCAAGTGCGGAAATTATTGTATTGCTTTTATTTGACAGCTTAATCTTTGACTTTCAACATATCGCAGAATAAGAAGGCCTGATGCTTTACATACTCATATCACGATTAAAAATGTTTTATTTTTTTTGGAATATAACATATCTGAAATTCATGTTCGTATATTTTTAAATGATTTCTTATGGTAATTACGATTTCTTTATAGTTTAAGAACTTGGAGTGTGTGTTAAGTTGAGTTTATAAAATATGATGGAATGTGGATGGCTATGGATTCTAGTATATTATAATTTATTTCAATTTTTCGAACTTTCAATTATATTTATTCACATTTAAAAAGCTGAACAGCAATTTAAAAAGTTAAATCTCCCGACACTTAACTACCGGATATCTTCGTTCAATTTGTGACAAATTTTTCAACCCGTTTTCAAACAGAAGCAACAAATTTCAATTTATTTAATGAAAGAAAAAGTCGATGGCGTGTCAAGTCAGCCCCGCCCTCGGAACGCCCAACGAGAGCTCTGAATATTGTGGCCATGTGACATTTAAGCGCCTTGAAAATGTCATTCATTTTAACCGTTTCCCTGCTGCCAGTGCTGTGGTACAAATTTGCAATAATAATTTGCAATGCCTTGATTCCGTTTCCTGGCTTTCGGTCTCGTCATCATCGTCATCGGCTTTTGTGCACTTCCATCACTTTTTAATAAATGTGCATGCTAATTATATTATTACCCATACGACCCGTTGCCATGTGTCCTGTCTGCCTCACCTTTCGTCGCCTCGTCCTCTCGTCCGTGCGAAATACTTGCAATTAATTTCAGCATAAAATTGCGTGGCCTGCGGTCTCTTGGCCCCGCACAATGACACACAGTTAACATGTCCAATTTATTGGCCATAACTCATGCCCGGGTCGAGGAAGGAGTGAGTGAGAAGGATCTGGATCCAGAGACAGACAGCAGCGATATCGACGGGGCAAAGAAAAATGACATTAAGGCCATAAGATATATGGCCCATTTGCATATAGGTTCATGTATACGTATAAATATGCAGGCGAAAAGCGGAGAGTTGCAGGTTAAAGGCCCGCCAATTCACTGTATTTATACCCCGGCGTCGTTGCACGATTTTAATAATTCAACTTGTGTTGCATAAAGTTTGCATTGACATAAACATAATGAACGATGGAAAACCGCATACGAAATTGCCTTTCTCCGCCGGGCCAGCGGTTCCATTTCCATCCTCTTGCCCCCTTGTTTATTAACATTGTTAATGCCAAAAGGAGAAAAGCACATTCAGCGTTGAAAATATTGATAATCAACATTGTGCCCTGGATGTGTCGAAGTCCTGACAATAACAAAATTAATGTATTTAATTTAATTTCCCCCGCAGACGGGCAAGTACAGTAAAGTAAGGTCGACTGTGCAGTTCACTCGAACAATGCCGCTAATTAAGCATTATAAATTCAGCTGAAAAGACGACAGGCCAAGGATATATGACAATCTTTGGGGAGTCGTAGATTTTCCCTACTGTCGAAAATTTATCAGTATTTATGCGTTTATTAAATATTTATATTGCCTGAATAATGAACAAAATTGTCACCCAGATTGCAGTGCTCATTTGGGGCTTCAATAAATTGCTCGTCAAATGTTTACAAAATTTAACCAAACCTTTTTTCTTAATTAGTAAATTGCGCTAATTAAAATTTCAGTTTTGTTTGTAAATATACCATTTTATTTGAGGTCATAATATTTTTGATGTAACCAAATATAGCTGTAAATAAATGTTGACCCTATTAGTTGCGTGTAAATATGAGAAGGTATAATTAAAGCATCAAAAATTCATTTCATAAAATAACAATTTAGTAAGCCAGTAAATAATTGCAAACATATTAGTCAAAAGCTCTGGCAAATAATTAACAATATCAAAGGAGAATAATGTAAAGTTCACACAACTAGGACATATTTAATTATCTCTTAAATGGCTAGTAAGCCAAAAAATACAAGAGGACAAATATAGCCGTTACAAAGTAAATATATTGTTTGTTGCCTGTGTTTCAAAAATAAGCTGAACATCAAATGAATAACGTGTAAAATGATTAAAGCTTTTTGTGCGAATAAAAATATAAGAACGGATCAGTTTTCCTATAAACAAGTTGGCATAGTGTAAAAAAATAAATAACAAATATAACTTATTATATTGATCAATCTGGGAAATATTTCAAATTTTATTTGTTAATAGGTAGTTTTGTGGCTTTTCGTTGAATCTTTGTTTAAATACTTAAAATCAAACAAATTTACATGCCCACTTACAGGCACAAAAGTAAAATCGAATAATTTGTCTTAAAAATTAGTTCCATGTTAAATTGAAGTCATTTAGCAGAAGTTTTGTTTGAAACGCTAAACTATTGTAAAATAAACAATTTTAAAAAAAACTTATTAAGGTAAATTAAACAAACCTACGATTAAGATTAATAAATTTAAATTGTAAGCAGTTATATAATTATGCGATAATAATTAAACAATAAAACTTTAGGTTGATTGATACCAAAAAAAGCGAACCGAACAAAACAAACAAAGTAAATGAACATAAATAACTGTTGTTTCATTAAACCATTTGCATTTAATTCTAGCTCTCAATTACATGGGGGCATGCCCAATGTTGTTGGCTTTGGTTTTGGCCTGGCATTTATGCAAATTTCCTGTTTTTCGGGGTTTGACATTCGGCGGCTGGTGCTCACAATCCACACCACACGAAAAAACAACGTTAATGAGCGCGTTTATTCACAGGAACAGCCAAATTACACACACATGTGCACTCGGAAATATTTTTAACAAGTTCTTTGATCCCACAGAAGAAACTCTCCTTTAGTAGCAGTCTATTCAAATGTTTTTCGCTGAGTGCAAAGCCGGCAGACCGCCAAAACCTCAGTGTGCGTTTACTAATTATTTGAGTCACGCAAATAAATTTAACACAAAATATGCTAAACACTTTCGGGGACTCGCACAAAAAAATCTTTGATAATTTAATGTTATTTGCATAGATTTCAGCAGCTTGAGCGTTGACGTGCAACAATTAACCTCGACACGCACCTCCTAAATTCCAAATTCACCGGAGAGTAACTAATCAAAAAACAACTGGATAAAAAGTGATGGGCAAGGTTCTTATTTTCGATAAAGCTTTTAGATATTCTTAACTATATTAACATACTTAAAACGACTTATAAAAGACTTTGTTGTCGAACATTTTATTTTTTTAATAGTATATATATTAATTTAAAAACATAAGTAATATATATCAAATATCAAAACATTAATTTTTTATAACAGTTTATTTATTTATTTTACTTTTATATTTAAAAAATATTGTTTTAAGTCACTTTTCTAAGCAATACATATTTGACTACCCGGGTACATATTGACACATATTGACTTTTTAACAATAATTTAAAGCAAAAAGGTAAAATTGACTAGTATAAGTCATAAGTTATTGCATTTAAAATTGAAGCGATTCTAATAATAAATGATTATTGCGTATTTAATAAGCCGTTAGAAAAGAACTTAGCCATTTGATCATAAAACGAAAGTATTAAATCAAGGACATGAAAACATAGTGTACCAAAACAATATGAAAACATTTAGATATCAATTTTCTTTCCAAAACTGGGAACGACAGATCCTTTCGGCTTTGAACCCTCTACTTATACGCAATATTCCTTGAACATTTCTGAAGTGCCTCACACGTCTGAGGGGTAACCACTTGGGCACACTAACATTATCATAATTACAGGGCTTGTGGAGGGGGGATGGGGATGTCGGAGGCGGAGAAAAGTGGGCCGGAGACACCTTGCACTCTTATCTGAAATGCCTGCTTTGCGGCACTCAAGAAACTTTTCAAAAGTCATTTAAATTATGCGCACAAAAGCGCGAAAATTATGCCATGGCGAGACGAAGATTCAGACGCCACTTACAGCCTCAAATAAAAAATATATATATATATATTATATGTAAAGCGAGAGGAAAATAAAGAGGGAGCGAGACAGAAGCGGAAACCACATTTGTCGGCAAAGTTTTGCCTACAGTCAGCCTTTCCCATCCACATCGCAAAAATAGTTGAGTGCAAAAGCGTGGAGCACACTTAAGATAAGCTTGGAGCGCAAAACTTTCATCTTACAAATACGCGGACCCCCTCCTTTTACGCCCCTGGCCTTTCGAAAAGGCATTCAACAAATTAATTCTGGCTTTGTCGCTGCAGGAAATATGTTTAATTTCATTTAAATGCAGTAAGTGCAACACTTTGGTTAGCTTTTCCTAGAGCTGAATGAAGTGGTAAAACAGGGGTACGGTCGGATGTTTGGTCGGGATGATAGAAATCTTTTGGTTGAAGTTCTTTTGGTTTATATTTTGTGCGGGCTGGGTGAAAAGACTTCATTTTTTGCCTGAAATTCTTTACATGTGTACAACTTTTCAACGAAGACAGGATGAAATGTAGAAATGCGTTAATTAGTTTGACTTGGGTAAAGTTGTAACAAAAGGTATAATTAAATACTTGTCTCCTAAGTATAACCTCGAATATTTTAAAGTTTCAGATTAACTCATTATACATACAAATTAGAGAGTTGGTAAGTTCTTAGATGGCTGGCATTTAATAAAAAACACTTTTAAAACCCCTTGATAACTTTTTTTAAAAATGATCTGAAAATTTAAAAAATTCTTTTTAGACTATTTAAGTAGAGTAGAGTTTAAAACAAAATCAAACTACACGTTAAGTAGTTTGTGGGATCCCTGAAATTCTCTCTTTTGGAAATCACATTTTCAACGAACTAACATCACCATATCCATCATTTTGACTGCAAACATACTACCCTTTTTAAGTCCCCGGTCGAATGAAAGTTGTCAAAGTTCATCACCAACAAAAATTATTACAAAATCACAACTTCCCTTTTCACCCCAATTCTAGTTAAAGTTCCTCTTTTCAAAGTTATTTTATGTGCATTTTTGTTTTGCCACAAATTACAGCTTAACATTTTTGGTCTACCAGCCACATACACTTATACTTGATGTATTGGAGCTTCACATACAGTAAAGCTCCCTATTTCTTGTATATTTTCTTTGTTTTTTTTTTTCCACGGGTATTGGGGCTGCAGAGAGCGGACTCATCTGTCAGTTTTACATAGTGCACCCCAGAGAAATTTGTGTTTGTTGCATACGAATTACATCGCGCATTGTTCGCGAACGGACTTTGATGGCCGTATGACACTGGCGGAGGGGGCGGAAATCATCGAGTGCGTCTGAGTGTGTGACTCTGTTTTTGGCATTTCTAAATATGATGCACTGTGTGGGGACCCATTGATGTGGCTGCTGTGAGAACAAGCTCGTTGAAGCCCTGCCGTCCATTTTTTTGTATTTGGTCTCTTCTATTATGATGTTATGCAGAAGCAGGGGCAATGAAATATCATTGCAGTTTTTCTGTAGACATTGTGGTCAGGAATAATGTTAGCCAACCACAATTTAAGAATAATGTGTAGAGAGCGGGAGCCATGAGTGACAGCTTTATGAATCGTATTTTGGCTTTTATTATTAGTATTACATTTTTAGTGGAGAATAAGAGCAAGCTGGAGTTATGTCAACGAAACATTGTCCGTAAAGTAACAAAAAAATTATATCAAAAAATGTTTCAGTTTAAAAAGTACTTATTCTCTTTAACCAGCTCATATTTTATTTAAGGACTTCACTTAAATAACTAATTTGCTTACAGACCGCGACTGGCTAAAAACCTAGGGTTTTAATTCGATCATTTCTGAGCTTATCGGAATTTTTCTATCTGCATATCTCTATCAATTTTTAACTAATATCGCTTTCGTAAAGCTTTAAAACATGAGACCCCAACATTATTTTATTTGGAAAGTGTGCCAAGTATATGTTTGACCAAGTCGTCCTTACTGATTCTGATAAATTCAACAAATATACAAACCGATACTGAATTATTTAAGGGCAACCAGTTACAAAGACATAATCTATTGACTGGACACTGCATTACATTGACTTTTTTCTGCAGCAGCTTCTTGTGTCTCGTGCGCATATTTGTTTGACTTTATTTTTTAATTTTCACAACTTTTGACAGCTTTGCAGTTGGTCACGTACGTGGCCAAGTCGGGAGTGCCATATATTGGCTGCCGTCGAAGGGGAAGCAGGACGATGGCTGAAAGGGATGACCACAGTGTGCAACAGCTGCCTCTGACGCACGTGACTGGCCCGGAAACCAAGACCCCGGACCCCGTTACCCCCTTGCCCTGGTAAATTTTAATCAAGTTTTCTCGCCACGCCGCTCGGCACTCGCTCCTCAGTCTATTTAATTGTCAATTTGTTGCGGCGTGTGTCTGACGACTGCTGATAAATTATGTTCAGTTGAACCGAGCTGAACTTAACTGAACTGAAGCCGCAATTAAGGGGTCAAAATGAAATGCAGTCCAATCGGTTTTAGTTCCTTGGACGAGACAACAACCTTTGCACTCAGCTTACTCAGGCATTCTTATCGTCGTGCTTTGTTATTTGGAACTCTGGCCGGGAATTCTGGCTTATCTTGTCTTAATGATTCCATTGTCAAAGCCTTTGGCTGCGGAAATTGTCTACACAAATTTAAATATTCAACAGGATATTGCATGAAATATACATGAGTCCGATGCACACACACAAAAGGACAAAGGCTAAAGTTGAGGTGGGATAAAGAAAATATCCTATTCGAAAAGGACTGTGGGCGACAAAATCTGGTTGTGCTTAAATAACTTTGAGTTTGGTGTTCCTACAAATTCTACTTCTAATCTCAGATTATAGTAAAATGTTTTTTTTCTGTATTTAACCAAAGATTTTGTTTTCTTTTTAGTGTTTTATTTCTGAGGCTAGTATTTCGGAAATTAAGTGCAACACAGGTTTTATGAAATAATATTTGCTTACATTTGTATCTAGTCTTTTGATAGTTTGGGAGTTATATGAGCCGCAATATTTTTTAATTAGTTAAGGTAATTTAGTAATTGAAGTACTTTAACAAAGTTTTGAGTCATAAAATATGATTGTAATACTTAAAATCATATGAAATACACTTATTAATTATTATTATATTTTCTTTAGCTGAAATAAATATCCCCCATGAAATTTCCATATTTCTCTTACTTTATTTCCCAGGAAAGATAATTATGACCCGCCTCAACGCATTTGTTTTAATCCTGTTCAGTTGTCTTGCCTGCTCTAGCATTGATTAGCCCATCAAATTGTATTCTCTCTTTGGAGGAGAAGCTGATCCAGAGTCAGGCCTACGTTTCCCTGGAGGTTGGCCAAAACAAATGCCATTCATTTCCGATTCCTGGTCTGCACCACACAAATGTCTTGGGAGCCGGCGGCTATCATTCGTCCTGCAGAAGCAACACGCTTATTGTATTATTTAGCCCTCAAACTCCAAACTGCTGGCATTGACTTTGACAAGTTGGCCGTCGTTTTAATCTCTTTGGTGCTGGTTCTCGGTTTTCGGCCATGGTCACCGGGGAGCTGCTCTGAGATCCTGACTGTGCTTTCAACT